TTAAATTTTATCATTGCAAAAGTGCATTTTTAGTCCGGTTTAACGTCATAGCGATTTTAGTCCCAAAGATTCCAATTTTTCGCCTTTCGGTCCGGTGATTTAGGGGGTGATTGGATATGAATTCAACTAGTAAAAATCTAGTTTTTTTTAACTATAGTTAAGTTTGAAAAAAAAGTGGTATGGTTAGTTGTTAGTGGATGTATTAAAATAGTATTTAAAATAAAATAATTAAAGTTGATTTGATGTAAAAGTAAGAGAAAATGATTGGAAGTGATAGTTAGTTAAAATTATGTGAGTGGATGAATAGTAAATTAAAATTGATGTAATGTATAAAAATGATTGGTTGATATTATTTTATTATATTAATAATATTAAAAATAATGGAGTTGAGTTAAAGTTGTGTTAAATTTGAGTTTGAATTAGTTTTTTTACTATACAATGCATAAACAATCATCCCCTTAATATTTTGCTGTAATTTCAGTCCTTTGAGGACTGAAATTTCAATAAAGTTTTAAATTACAAGACTGAAATTGCAACGAAATTATACAATTTTAGTCTCAAGGTTCCAACATTTCGCTTTTTTGGTCCTGTCGTAAAATATTTTGTTGTGGCTTTAAACTAGCCGGACTAAAAATGCAATTTTCCCCTATTTCAAACTAATCCATCATCCGACGCAATTCGTAAAATGGGTGCGTTTTGTTGGTTCGTTCTTTATTTTTTCTTTATGGTAGTATTTGTGATTGTCCCCATCAAGAATATTAACACCTAAAGTAATAATAAATCACATCATTATTGTTAATAATCTATGTTATTATTTGGTGAAGGTTGTTGGAAAACCTGGGCCAACGGTGAAGAAAATATCGGGTATTAATGTGCTCGATAACAACGCGGTAAATCTCGTCTCGATTATGCTGACGACCGTACTGACTTCCATTGCTTGCTTGTACATTTTCTGAGAAATTATCCACAAATAAATGAGTAGTTTGTTTTGTTTGCAAACCGAGTTTTAATTGTTGTAATGACAACTTAATTGTACACTAGGTTGGCTACGTATCATTTTTCTTTTAGTAGATGAATAATATCCCTGCATATTAGTTCAGAATGTGCTAGCTTAAATTGGTAGACTTGCACGTTTCTGATTCTATTTGTCAGCATTTTATGCTTTGTATTAAAAATATCATGTAATCAGTACCTAGATTTTGGTATAATTAAATACTAAAATTTTGATAATCATGTCAGGATCAACTAATCATACCCATTTGAATTTGGCTACACTCCAATCTGGATTTGCAAAACCATTTAGTAAATTAATTATTAAAATACGATTATAAATGATGAAGCATATATTGATATTCTTGAAAACTTACTAATTAAAGATGCAGATACTTACATCAGCTTGTTGAATCGGTTTTAATGTTTATGTGACGTCAATGATTCCCATTGAAGTGCGTATTTATCTAAGTTCTTATATAGCATTTGCAAAATAATCGGTTAATAAATTGTGCGTGCTGCTATCAAAATAAAAATAAATTAATATTGTGTACAAAAAAGTTTTCTAGAATTTCAAACAAGATAATACAATCTGTTAATATTACTTATTACAACTTAATTTATATATATATATTTTTTATTTTACAATAATAAACTTTTTTATTCATTTCTAAAGCTACACTGGCATCGTACTAGTTCACATGTGAATTGAGAGAGGTGTACTCATTCAAGATTTTTAATGAAAGTTTGAGATGTTAATATATAATCCTAGTTTGTTTAACTTATTTTCAAACTTTTAAAATTCTGGGAGTACTCATTTAGATTTGAAAAGTATTTTCATTTGAGATTTTAAAAAGTATAAAAGTGTTATAAGATATTCAATTTATTTATTACTGTGATATTTTTTAAGATTTATCATGATTTCAAATACAAAATATATATACCAAATCCTGCCCTAAATCACATTCATTCCCATATATTTTAGATTTACAAGAATTTGGGTAAAATCTAAAATCTTAAAAAAATAAAATAAAATAAAATATTACTAGTCTCAACGAACACATTTATATTTTACTTTTATAGATAAATTCCGTGCATAATAATATCACCATCAACATATTAGTCTCATAATTTTTTTGGCTAGCACACTTCGCTGTCATTTTATTCGCTTAGAAAATAAACAACCATAATTCGCAATGACCATCGTAAGTAAGTTCGTAACTGGAGTAAAAATTTCCAAACCAGGCCAAGATAATATTATTAATAATAATTGGAAGCTTTTTATAAAACACACGATTTTTAATTTGCATCACATATCCAATGAAAATTGAAGCTGGTTCAGCTAATATATATAATAAACAAGGAGCTTATATAGTGTATGAATATTATTTGTTCCATCGACTAGGCTTCATTATTGTGACATGCACATAAGATTCATTATTTAATTTTGATTTCATTTTTTTCTTACTTATGATCACAATTATNNNAAAAGAGTTAGAGGCTTCAATTCAGTTATGCATTGACATTTTAGAAGGGAAATCTATTTATATGGCAAAAAAAATTGTAGTAGGTGACAAATGCTGATTGGACTGGGTAGTTGATCATATTATTACATTGTTCCACGTTTTCTATTATGGTCTCACAATGCGAGTTATTTACCATTAAACTAACACATAAATACACGACATAATACTGTACATAGAAGTGTACATAACACTCACATTAAGTATGTCCTACCAAAATTTAAAAATCAAGTGGACTCCACTTCATGTGAGTATTACGTACACCTCTATGTACATTTATTATGTACTTGTAGCATTTTTTTAAATACAGATATTAACCCAGAAAATTGATGATTGTAATTGTTGAAATGTTCAAATTCTTGTGTCTGTCGAATATTAATTGTTAGGTTGATCGATTAATCATAATTTTTTTTATTAAAAATATGACATTTAATTATCTATATATATATTTAATTGCGTTGATGTTTAAAAATATGACATTTAATTATCTATATATTGCGTTGATGTTTCCTGAATTACCATTTTTCTAGTTTGGTGGTTATATTTAAGTCAACATTGTCCACGCTGAAGAGGAATATTATTCATTGAACCAAAATATTCAATTAACACTAGGATATTGTCGTTTTTAATAATATTTATAGCGTGTTCGTCTTCCTCACGGGAACCTATTAACTAAGCGATTATATATTGGCTAAAGTCCTACATTAATCTGCAGGAAATGTTTAAGGGGGCGCTTTGGTAAGGGGGTATGAATTGAAGAGTTGGGATGAGTTTGATCAGTGTTTTTAATACTTGGACAAGTGGCCCAATTGATTCACTTTTTTTCTTCATAATTTCATATAAAATAACAAAATATAATTTAGTGAATATAAATATAGGACAAGGGTATTAAAAATTATACAATTGTTTAGTAAAAGATTTTATTTGATTTTTTTATTGTTATTTTTATTTTTAGTTTTTTTTNTACATCACCCGCACATTGCACAACCTAGTATTAGAAAAAGTGTGGATGAATTATAATTTAAATAAAAAAATTTAGGGATCATTCACCTATAATAAAAAAATCATCATTTTAAAAACTATTTTATATTCTAATTGCAATGTCGAATTCCATTATATCTATAAAAAATTCTTTTGCAATGTTGTCACATAATTTTAAAGAAATTCGGTAATAACAATTGTTAAACGAATCGAATATTTCTCATTTTATGTTAGCAAAAATCCGAGAACAAAGAAGGATATATCTCATTTGAAAGATTCACTATTATCTTATCTCAAAATAATTCGGACCGAACGAAGGATCACAAATAATTACTACAAGTCCACAACTATATAAGTAGTCAATTACACAAATCATCAACCACATCTCTCTAGCATTTTTTCAATCTCTAACTTGAGATTAAATAATTGAAGCGTTGGAGCTAATGTGACCTGGATATATTTGGTTTATTCTTGGTTAATTCTACGCAAATTTTAATATATTTGTGTTGATTTTAATGAACCATTTTAGTTAAAAAAATGGGTCGGGTCATTAATGTAAATGAGCCAAAATTACTATTTTTATGCAATAAGAATTTGGTTGCAATAATTGTATTGTTGGGCTGATTTTTTGGAACAATTATATATTTATTTATTTGATCTAATATTTCTATTTGATTGTGCTGCTTTACAATATTTATATATGTTGCATAATATGCTATCCATTATATGGATTTTATGTTTTTAATACTATAAAATAAAATGTGTAGTTTTTTATACAAGTTATATTTTCATTCTTAATTAGTATTTGTTTAATTAATATGTGATAAATGTTGTTAGTTTGTTGTTTTTATTAACAATGTCATTAATTTTGTAATATTTTTACATATTGTTCTTATAAATTGATTCGAAACAATCTTGCAATACTGTTATTTGGACCTTACTTATATATGTACTATGGATTCCGATTTCCTAACTGGATTAACTGTCAGTAAACGACATATGACAATTAGATCGGACAGTTCATCAAATGCCCTTTTACTGATATTAGTCTGTGGTGCCAATGACTCGCCATCAAATCAAATCAAAAAAATTGTGTACAAGAAAGTATTAGATATTTATGAATTTTTTAATTTGTCGACCCGTTTATATTTGTTACATATGTACCACGTCCATTAAATTTAATAATTCAATATTAAAAAAAATTCAGAATAATATATCATCCCGTGCATCGCACGGGCCACGACTAGTATAAATATAGGACAAGGGTATTAAAAATTATAAAATTGTTTAATAAAAGATTTGATTTGATTTATTTTTTTTATCTCTTATCAGTATGTCATCCGCACGCTGCACAACCTAGTATTAGAAAAAGTGTGGATGAATTATATTTTAAATAAAAAATATTCAAAAAATATGATAGAGATAATAAAACGTAAAATAAAATTTTAATTTATCGTGTTTAAAAATACTTTCGTAAATATAATATTAATAGTAAATAAACTATGTTCGTTATCACCATCACATATAATAATCATTAGTTCTCAAGATTTGTAACTCTAGAAACCTTAACATATAATTTTCTGGGAATAAGAAATACCATATGTTATTTTATTAAAAATTTCAAAATTAAATTCATTAAGCTTAAAAAAAATATTTAATAGTTATTTGTCACATTAATGGCACCCCTTCATGAAACTTTTTTCATAAAAATGTTTATGTAATAAAATAATTTACACCAATTCAGAATAAAAATGAAGCAATTATTACTATTACACAAATAAATTAATATACAAATAATTAAAGTTAACATTTACAAAAATGAGTTAACTAAAACTAAGAAAACATATATTAAATACTTAAAAAAATTAGAATGACCCAATTTCAATTTTCATGTCTTTATTTTTAAATTAGGTTTACATGTTATTCGCTTTTTTATTGGCAAAATAAATCTCAATAACTTTTTTCTTTGCAAAATAAATGCGATGATGATTAAATATGAAGTGCAAGATAGATCAAGTTTTCTAAAGTTACAAATAGGTAATTGTTAATGTTCAGATCAATAAAATACTTATTTTTCCATGAAATGAATGACATTGTAATTTAATGTAATTCTTAGAAATGTGCATTATATTGATGGATTTTTTTATAAAGCAATACGAAAAAGTCATTTAAATTATATTATATATTTTAAAAGAATAAAATCATTTAGTAAAACTAACATTTGTGATACATGCTAAGAATAAAGAAGTTGATTCATTACAGTAAAATTGTGTTGAACTGATAGTTATACTAAAAACTCGGCTTTATTTACAAATGTTTCTTTATAGTCCATTTTTAAGGAGAATAATGTTTAGTCAAAAGTGTTTGTTCTATTATTTTGAAGAAACTATTGTGAAATGTAATAGTGTAATTTTGAATTAGTTTATCTTGTGTAATGACTTACACTAGTACAACTTATATATTTTGAACGGACCACAGAGGATAATATTATTTTATACTGATCAAATAGATAATTTAGATCTCACTTATTGTTGCTCTTAAGCTATAAGATAACGAATGGTCGTGTGCATTTAATATTTATTAATTTAATTTACCAAAAAATGAGATCCAATTACTGGTTCCATATAGTGATTGACAGTAATAATTTTAAATGCATTTTATTCTGTTGAGATTATTTACAATCATTATGCCCCAGTGCGCCGGTTGTTGATGTCTCAGAAAAGAGCTCGAGGTGATTTATTATGTCAAGCTCTGCAGACGGATTAAGTTCTGCCATAATATGAAGGTTGAGTGGTACTAGTTTTAGTACAAATAATTATACTGTCAATAGTTAAACTAATTAATGGACGTTAGATGTTAAATATGGGAAGACAAATTGAGCTAATAAATTTAAAGACTATTTAGTTATAATTCGGGGTTAATTATGAAGTTCAATAATATTTCTTTACTAGAATGAAATATATCCATTTGTTACAGGTGTAGGTAGAACCTAAGTTTCTGGTTCACGTTGGGAATCCTAATTTATCACGTTCTCTTGGTCTCTTTCGTAGTCCATAATACAATCTCAATCAGTATCATGGTTATACACACACAGATATATTCATGAGAATCCACAAGAACTTGTTCATTAAAACACGAGGAGAGAGAGAGAGAGAGAGAGAGAGAGAGAGAGAGAGATTAAGCGTGAACATCTAGGTAAGAAAATCGAAGATAGTGTTGAAAAACACAAGGTCTTCTTTGTTCTTCCCCAATATCAAGAGTGCGTGAAACTTGAGACGGGAGATCTGAGCAGTTGTCGCCCGCAAAGACGAATGAGGAGTGGTATCGGGATACAAGGCAGAAAATCAGAAGGTCATCCATTCGTCCGGTCTTGTAGACATTATAAGATGTCTCCGAGTGTGCAAATTTTTAAATGGTAAGATATGAATCCAAACTTTATATTCGCTGTGCATATAATTATATTCTTAGATTTTCGTTTGATTCAAAGCACAATAATTGAAGTTTTTTACCGAACCCAACAATTGGTATTAGAGCCATGGTTAATTTAATTTTTGTGCAATGATCAAATGAGATGTGAATTATTTGTATATGGTGTAGTGCATAGTAGTATGCACGATTCTGTGATCCACTATTATGGCCACGTATGTATGCTTTTGAATTCATGTATGTTTTCAAAGCATCAGACACGTTGTGGAATTTTAGATTGGTAAATGCTTTTAGTAGATTTAAACTCTCGGCGGGATGCCGTATAGTATATTGATTTCAAGATTGAGAATGTAAAACCCTGCGTGGGTCGCAGGATAATTTTATTTTTATAATTTTTTTATTTTTGATATGATGAACCCAACTTACTAGACGATGAACAATCAAAGAACACACCATCTCGACAGACGACCCGGTCGCAGGTCTTGCTGACAGATAAGTGCGCCTCAGCGATCTCGCGCGTAGGCGCTCGAAAATCGTCCCCTATAGAGCCTGGTCACATGAAGAGGGGCTAGGATGTTCGCGAACTCATGGTTTATGGAACAAGGCAGCAAACGGAGGCTGTCACCTCGAGAAGGTCGGTGGGCGGCTCGGCAATCGCAGACGGCTGCGGCATGCGACTAGGTTGCAGGTGCTTGTGCGCAGCGCCTTGCGACTGACCAAGTCTCTCGTTAATTTGTATAATTCTCTCGCGACCAATTTAGTGGAGCAACGACAAGGGCAAGGCCATTATCGGCGGTGCCTGGTGTGTGGGGAAACCCCACACTGTGCCACTTGCAGCGTTGCCGAGAGACACTAGCTGTAGTGGGAGATGCCCAACAACCACTGACAGGGCCGCATGATTGTCGCGCCGGCACCCTGCCAAGAGCTGGTTGTGCGGGCGTGTGAGAAAAGCATGGGCGATGCCAATGCAATCGGGCAGGCAGCGCCCAATCATCATGCATGATGCGCAACACATCCGTAGCTCGACGACAGTCGAGTATGTCATGCGAGCCTTGAGCATCACTCTAGGAAATGTGTTGCAGCAGCGGAACACCATCGGCCATGGGCGATGCATCAAACGTGCTGGGAGCGCTCGACGACTCTGGGGGAAGGCAGGCCAACGATCTCGGTGACATGCACTGTCGACTGGCTGGATAGAGGCCACGTGGTGGCGCGATAGGCGGTGGGCGAGGCTCGATGGTGGCTATGTGGCGGCGACCATTCCGACAGAATTTTCTAGCAACCAGACACCGTCCGGCAATAGAACGAGTTGAGTATCATTGAAATTGACTGGAGGAGAACATGATCAACTGGAATTCTGGACTAAATGGGGAATTGTAGTTCCAACAGGACATGGACTACTTTTCCTTTTATTAGTCTAGATTAAACTAGTGGCCATAATATAGTTGGAATTAATTACATATTTATGTTGTTAGTAAAGGTGACGTTTAATTAATTGTTGTTTGAGTGCATGGATATTAATTATAGAAATGCATGTTTAGAAAACTCTTTATATTAAAATACTAAGTGGGAGAAGACTTTTCTTGAAATTAAATGTTTTTCGAAAAACCTAAAGCCCTCAATTACTGGTTTGTATGTGATGTAAATTAATTTGTGCTTCGGCTTTATGTGCCTTCTTCCACAACAAATGAATCAATTACAGTTTGATAGGACGAACCCCCTTCGGGATGGTTAGACTTAATTATATTTGGAGCGTGTTCGCTGTTGTATATGTTTTTGTTGGTATTTATACGTGTTTTTAGTGCGTGTTTGCTTGCTGGGATGAGATTGGACTAAAATAGTGCAATAGTATAGGATTATACTGTTTGAACTAATATTATTCTATGTTTGTTACATAGGATAATATTAGTCCGAGTTCCATGCCCGTGATTGCACCGTTGTCAAAGACATAGGGAATGAACACTTTTGATCTCTTTCATTATTGTATTTTCATTTATTTATTATTATTATTGTTGATTGAATGCTAGTTTTTCAATTTTGATTAACGTGAAATTCAATCCGAGCATGAGCTAATTTATCCACCTAGGGCTAGAGATCACAATTCTCGTCTTGAATTTGTGTTAAATGTGTTATGTTCATACCTATTCGAATTGCTTGCATGTCGTGATTAGTTGTTTGATCACCATTCAGTCTAGATTGATAATACCTAGAAACCGAAAAGGTATATGATATTCAATCATTCTTCGAATAGGCTAGATATGTTCGTAATTATATTGTCTATATGTTTGTCAATGAAATACGTGTTTTTCTATGTCCGGACTCATATTCGTAAAAGTATTGAGGACGGATTTCTAAGCTTGTGCATATACTTATCACTCATTTATATTTAATCCTTGTTAGTTGTTACCAAGTCAAGAATTCACCTATCGTAAAAATTCTGGAACTTCGTTTTCCATATCTATACCGTTACGTTAGTTACCGTAACTACTGATCAATACAATGTCACAATCTCACCTTCCGTAAAAATTCTCGCACTTTATCTCTACCGTAGTTTTAATCCTCCGTTTCTAAAATTATCCCAAGCTTAAGCGGTCGTTTTGTCCAAGTATCAATAAAAGCTAAAAGATCTTGTCAGTCATGCCTAACTTTTATTTAATTATATTATTTTGACAAATATGCATATTTTTATATATATAAAATCAACATACTTTAAATTTAATATAAATAAAAATATGATTTTCACACTATAATTATGTAATTTCGTTAAAATGTTATGACAGTGGACCGAACAACAGTTGATAGTTTCATATAAAAATTTGTTAACTAAAAAATAAAAATAATTAAAAATCTATAGGTTCAAAATCACAACTTAACGGAACTCTAGTGAAGTGAACGCCAAGAAACGAACCTCCGCTCATCTACTAAACTAACTTATCATATATTGTGTCCCATTCTCAACCAACACCACAAAATTAAAATTAATACCCAAACTAAGATTTTCTTTATTTTCCACATATATATACACACAATAATTCTATTAATTAATCGCAACACATCATATTGAATTGGAAAACGGCGGAGGCAAGTGGCGGCTATATGGCGGCGAATAGAGCGGAGATCGACACAAGTCCACCTTTCCGGTCGGTCAAAGAGGCTGTGATGCTGTTCGGCGAGAGAGTTCTGGCCGGCGAGGTCTATGCCGGCAAACTTAAAGAGGTGAAGAAAATAATTGAAATTTCAGTAATTTAGATCATTAATATTGTAATTTATTGTAACATTTGTTTTTTTCTAAATTTAGCTTTCTGCCTTGCATGTCGATTGCAATTATTCATGAAATGATAGAATTAATACTGCTAATTGTTAGAATATCAGTTATTATAAATTAGGGTTGATCTAATTTTGACTATTTTTTTTATGTTAATTTTTTAATTCGAAAGAACTGAGCTATGTAATTCATAGGAAAATTATGATTATTAACCAGCGTGACATTTAGACGTATTGTGTTTCGATCAGTTTTAAGTAGCGAGGAACTTGATTTTCACTTTAATTAATGCTTTATAGAAAGGGTTACATAAAATAAGATACTTGGTGAAGTTGTTACGTGTTGGTGAACATTGTTGCTTTTTCTTAATTGTTTAGTAGTAACTAGTAACATTGTGTTTTTCTCGCACGAAACGATAAATTTACGGGTTTTATCGTGTTAAAAATTAGTTACTCGTACAATATAAACGCCTCACGCAAAACAAAATAGCGAAAAATAGATGCAGGAAAAGACGAGCAAATTCGATCACGGGACAATCTCATCCGAGCTTGAGGAGACGAAACAAAGCCTTCAAAAGGCTCGTGAGGAGACCACCAATATGTCTCGACATATCTCCTCATTACAAAAGGAACTCGAACAAACCAAACGGGAGCTCGAGAAGCTCAAATCCCGCGCGTTGGATTTCGAGACGGAGGACCTCAAATATGTCGAGAGCGCCAAGCAAATAACCGAGCAAGTGAAAACCGAGACGCGTGAAAGCAATATTATTGTCGAGTTCCAAAAGAAGAAATGTGTTTCGTTTTCGAATCATCCGCCTGTTGAACACGTGGCAGTTCGGTCGCCATTGCCAGCTGGCGAGTCGGCCATGCTCGAGAGGCACCCATCAATGAAGAAGAAGAAGAGGAAGCAACTCATTCCCCTTATTGGAGGGATTTTCTCCAAGAAGAGTTTGGCTTGATGAGTGAGATTTGTTGTGATGATGTTTTTAGATGGAGGAGTGCTTAGCTTTTGGTTATGTTCAAATTTAATAATGATGTTAATAGAACAAGATATATCATAATCATCGTTTCATGCATGTCATAAACAAATTAACCGGTGCTTGGTTTGATTTAATTTTTTCTTTCTCCTATATATATTGATTCAAAAAGAAAATCGTCAGTTGAATTTAGCATTATTGTGACTAATAGCTATAGGCAATTGTGTTTAGCTTTATTAATGCGACCGTGTGATGAGCATGAGCTACAATGCAACGTCCAATTAATAATTAAATTAAGATAAGATGTTACATTTTCACTTCATTATTAAATCCCTATTCATATATAGTCGGATTTAACTTGGGTATTCATCATTTCACGCACACTTTTTAAGCTATTTCAGTACCGTAACAAACAATAATTACTTGGTCAACGTAACATTACCACATTCATCTGCATATCTGAACCTGATTAATTGAACTACATGTCAAATAATCTCATCATATTAAAAAATGCAGTGTGGACTACATCTTTTAGAAATTCACTAATTGTGCTCACAAAAGCTGCTTTATAAAGGGCCATCGAGGATTAAATTAATCACATTTGTTGTCAAGAGCATCTCCGATGCATGAGGATTAATGTTATAATGTCAATGTCACATGGTAGTAATTAATTGGATTGTGATTTTTTATGATATCACTGTTGACATCGTATAATATAACAGTGTAAAATTATCTCTAATGTTTCACTTTCCTTCCGTCATTTGTATGTGTACATTTATTTATTTTCTAAAAAACAAAAATGATAATGCAATTTATAAAAGATTAACCAGATTCATTGGATAAAACATATTAAGACTCTACCTTTGAGATTTTAATTAATTAATTACCTTTATTTTTTTAATTATAAAATAAAAAATGCTTTCATCTTCACAAAACTAAATAAGTAATAAAAGAGTAACCAAATTCGTTTATTTTTTTTATTTAATAAGTATTTTGAATTATTCATTAAACTAATTAAAGGCAATTTATTATTATTATAACCCGTAGTTATAAGGCCAATCAATTAATGACAACATATACGAGTTGAGATGTCCATAGCCTTTTTAAATATAAACTATTAAAATATAATTAAAAAATAATAATAATAAAGTTAACAAGTTAACGGAAGTAAACCACAAGAAGACATGAAGCTTAATTCTTTCCTTTTACCTTAAACAAAACGCAAGCTTTGCAATACATTAACCTTTTTTTTTTTTAACTTTATTAATGAACATGCTAGTGNATTAATGAATATGCTAGTGAATATATATTATCTTTCTTCTTGTTATTTGAAGGATAAATTATTTTAATATATATTATCTTTCTTCTTGTTATTTGAAGGATAAATTATGTTTAATTTTTTTTGGTGTTAAAATAGAAAAGGTTTTAATCCCTCGTGATATTCTTATGAATTTGACAACTTATTGCAACGAGTTTGAGAAGATCCACACTTCTCAGTTTGACATTGTTTTAATTGATTTTTTCAACAAATTATTAATTGATTGTATGTATATTTTTGTTTCTAATATATATTTTCAGTACATTTAATAATAAAAAAGTATAACATTCTTTAACACATGACAAATATTAGATTAAACTTTAAAAATAACTTCTTTCTAACCATTGATTTATTTATAAAAACTTTATGCATGCTAGTTAAAGATAATTAAATATAACTTATTGAAAAAAATATAAAATTCCATAATTTTTAAAAACCAAAAAATCTTTCTCATTCAAATGTTACAATATATTATGAGCCTTCCAACCTTTTATTAGCAGCAACAAGGCGACAAACCAAACACTTTCAATAAAACTAATCACTTATAAGGACATGCAAATGATTCGGTCACATTCCTTAGACAAATCTCTTTTCCCTTTTCCTCAATTCTTTGTTTCTTCCCGAGCTAACATCATTGATCTTCAAAGAGAATATTTTGCACAAAACTTTACCAATATAAACAAATATAACACTCATTAATTTTATTCCTTCACGCCACACAAATGATAGCATTACACTTCCCAAAGAATATTATATAAGTTACAATAAAATTAAACGGACAACAATTTTGAATTTTCATCACACTAACATTCAACAATATATAAGAAAGCCAACATGATACATAGTATCATCATGTTTCATATTGCTCTCCTCAGGTTTAAGATTAATTAGGATTTTTAGAGATTTCTAATTGCCATGAAACTATTGGACAAGTTTCAAAGGATCTTGATGCGATTTATATTTATCCGCCGCTTGCCGGTGAGAGGAGGCCAGCCACCACCGGAGAAGGGCGGTGCAACCAGGCGGCAGTCGTGTGACCGGGCAAGCGATACACCGAAGGTTTCGTGCAGTTCGTATTATTACTCCTCAAACTCTCATTACAACGAAGCTATTGCCGATTGCATCGAGTTTTTCAAAAGGTCGTCGCAGGATGACTGTATGTTTAGTGCGAGAAATTCAGATGTTATCGTTGTTTAAATTTTTGTGTACATGAATTTGTACAAATGTAATGAAATGTCTATGTTTATCGAGAGGTTTGTAATATACTCGATTCAGGAGTGAGCATGCAACTGTGCCATTCAGTTTTAGCTATATAATAGAAGTAAATCAAGTTTGATCTTAAAAGAATAGACGAACGACACTGCAAAGCGGCAATTTTATACGCTAAAACTAATCGCACCATACCAAATTGTATGGTTGGACTCGATTTGTCGATTTCCTCTTGATTGTTCTATACACTTGTAGTTATTCGGTTCAGTTCGCGTAAAACCGCACTCAACTAATAAAAATTGAAAAATATTATTCATTTAAAGAAAATCGAAATGCATGGGAAAAATGACTCGATTATGCTTGAAACGGTGCAAAAGCGAAATAGCCCTCGTTGAGTGATATAGACTAACGATTAGAATAGTGAACAAGCTTGAAACGTCGAGTGCTATCGACTATACGATTAGAGTGGTGAACAAGCTTGAAACGAGTCAAATCTAGGGGTTGGCAATAAGGATCGACACAATTGAGCGACACGAACACGACATATATTTATAGAGCTTGGGCCAGAGGTTATTGGGTTCGGATCCATAGTGAGGCCAGCCCATTAAAACTCACTATTTATTGTGCCAACCCAATGAGGCCCGATAAAATTTGAGGCCATTATTTAGTTTGTGATTAGGCGGTCCAAACTCATTTGGACTAACCCAAGTCAATAGTAACTCGGTCCTTAGCCCATGGTACGTTGGCGAATGTGACAATGAAAACTCATCAAACAAAAACAATGACAGAAGCAATTGGAATTTGGAATTTCACTGTTCTTTCTTCACAGTTCGTGCCGGGTTTTACAGAAGTTCTCTTAGCGGCGAGGCGGCTTCATTCGGACAATACATTCCGGTATTGGTGGCTGAATTGCAGTTCTCTCGACATAATTACTTAAATCCTATGTGAGTCTACATGTAAGCTCTTTTGTATGGTAGTTCTTAATTGAGTTCCTTGTGATTTTGAAAAAAAAATCGATTTTTTCATTCTTGTTAGCAGCAGCAGGTAAAACAGACAGGCGGCAGCAGCAGCAGCAGGTAAGGACCGTGAGATGAATTCCTAAACCCTAATCTCTCAAGCCTCTGCGACGGACGAGCGCATCTTCCATCCGGCGCCGGCGGCGAGGAAGTGAGTGCTGCGAGAGTCAAGACCGGTGTGCGGTGACGCGACTGTGCGAGGAAGTGAGCGGCGAGTGGCACAGAGAGTGACTCCGAGCGGCGAGGAACCTCCCATTTCGGTAATGATGGCTGAACCTGAACGGCTTGTTGATTAATTTTGGTTTATTGAGTATGAATTTCTGAACTGTGAATTAAAATGTGGTGTCTCTTTGTTTGTATCTTTATTCTATCTAGGTTGAATCTTGTATGTATTTGGTACTTGATAACTTGAATTAAAACTGAACCTTGTATGAATCGGCCTCGCCGGAATGGCAGGCCTTCCCGCCCGCCAGCCGGTTTTGACATGTCTACAGCGCCTCTAAACTCGTTCGCTCTCACTCTGTAGCAAAATTTCCCCTTCAACCGGACGGCCATGGAAGACGATGAATCTCTGAGAGTGGTTCCATTTCAGCTCCAATTTGACAAACCAATAGCTTATCAGGTAGCTTGTGTTGCTCTCACTTGTCAAACCGATGTCGTATGTGTGTTGTTCTTGGCCTGACTGGTGTCAAATTTGGTTTTTCTGCAGATTAAGATCGCTGAATGGAATCCGGAGAAGGACTTGCTTGCCATGGTTACCGAGGACTCGAAGCTTCTTCTCCACCGCTTCAATTGGCAGAGGCTTTGGATTACGTCCCCTGGTTAGCAGCACCCCTCTCTCTCTACACATATGTATATATATATATATATAAATATGTGTGTGTGTGTGTGTGTGTGTGTGTGTGTGTGTGTGTGTATGTGTGCGTGTGTCAGCTGTTTATATTGCCAAATGAATGAAAACAAGTGAAGTGTGCACAGATAAATTGGTAAGATGTTTGTTAGCTGTTCGTATGAGATGAGCTACACTTGGGGTGGATGTCTATCATCCAGTCGCTTTTGAAGTTCATATGGATTTTGTAGCTTGTGGGAGTTGTATGATTTTGAGTTTCGATGTGCTAACGATTTTAGCTTGTGGGAGCTATATGATTTTGAGTTCGGATGTGTTGCCGATTAGGGAATATTGAGTATTGTCGGTTATTTACCTCCACTCGGCTCCGGTGAGTGGCACCTTTTCTTTTTTAATTGCTAAGTTAATTGTTTTCAATTTTGTCCTAGGGAAATGCATTACTGCAATATGTTGGCGTCCTGATGGTAAAGCAATTGCTGTGGGCCTTGATGATGGAACCATTTCAGTGCTTGATGTGGAAGTAAGTTACTCTAATGCAATTTATTTATTATTTATTTTGGTTGAAAAGTTCTTTTCTTCATTATGGATGATAGATGATAGACATGCTATTTGAGTGTCCCGAGTGAATTAATAACTCATGAAATTAGTCTCAATACCTTTTGTGTATTTGATGGGAGTAGAATGGAAAGCTGCTGAGAAGTATGAAGTTCCATGGTTCATCTGTTGTCTGCCTCAACTGGGTGGAAAATCGGGAAAAGATAGTGGTATGGCTTTGTATCTTCTTTATATTTCATATTATATGAAATGAATAATTTACTTTCTAGTGCATGATCATCATTTCGTTTAAAGTGGGGTTTTGTATTAAGACGCCTCTGGTGTAAATTGAAATTTACCACTTTAGGATAGAAAATCATTAATTTGGAAGGGTTAAAGTTAAAGCGCTATATCCTTCAATCTTTAGTCAATCACCTTTGGGATTTTGAATGTAAATGGAGTTACTCTGCAATATAATTCTACGCATGTGGAGGTATATTTACATGTGCTAGTAACTATACAAAACATGAAATCATGAATTATTATTTTATTTTACTCAAAAATTTCGAATCACATGATATGGTTTTAGGGTGCAAATCGTAATAATTCATCATATGAAGACCGAACTTCTCGTTTTTTTCCTTCTGCTCCAAGAGTTCCTCGCACACCTGGAATTATACCAGGAGATAACAGTGGGTTGATGGAGATAACTGACGACTCATTCCAAGAACTGCTTGATCCCTCACATCAACAGTTGGACATCTTATGTAGTGGGGATAAAGAAGGCAGCATTTGTTTCAATATATTTGGTATATTTCACATTGGGAAAGTTGTAAGTTAATCCTTGAGTTCAATTATTTTTACCTGTTTGTTCAAAACTTCAGCATTTCATGACGATCCTCTTTGCCATTCTGAATTCCAGAACATACACAATCTTGCTTTACGAAGTTCTCTAGAGGAGAAACATGTTTTGTGCCAACTCACTGATGCTTCCATTTGTAAGGTATGTTCTTTATTAATGTTTATTAGATTTACTTTTATTTTTCTGTTTCGATGTTGGTTGATCAAATTTTCAGTTGTCATCATTGCATCCTGTTATTATTCGACCATAAGAAAAGAAAAAAAGCATGATTTTTTCAGGTATACAATTTTGAAGCTGTATGTTCAATGTTGTGATAAAGTTCTAATTATTTTCTGATCCTTAGATTGTAAAGTCTGATGCTTAATGATCTATCCCGACACCTATTTTGATTTTATGACTGGAACCGTTTGCTTTATTCAGGTTACATTGTCAAGTGATCTTCGTCATATTATTGTCTTGTGCTCTGGTGTAGTTACTGAAAATGGGTCAGAAAAAAGTGATAATCAAATATCTGGAGGAGATATAAGTGTTCTCCATTCCTTAGTCCTTGACAGTACAGTTTTCCGGAGCAGGTAAAATAATATATGAAAGCCTGTAAGTGAATATGCATTTCTATATCGAACTAGAGAAAACCAAGGATGGTCAAGTACGTGCACTAATTTTTTATTTTTACTTGCTGGAAACTGAATTTAAGATGCATCATATTAGTAACTGGATAATGTTGCTTTATAATTCCTTAATACAGTTTTTAAGAGACTTCTCTTGATACAGAGGGTTGATGCCCTTTTTGTTCCTTATGAATGTTAGGAAAAACGAGCTTCACCAGGTGGCTCAACAAGCTTCCAATGTGGAGCATATGATGGAAGTAATCCAAAGATCACTAGATATTATGTCCAAGCAGTGGTCAGATGCCATGCATTTGTACCATGACAAATTCAATGTTCTATCTACCCTGATCACTGATCACGGTAACTGTTAGAAAGAAATAAAATAACAAAATAAATACCCATGCCCTTTCTCTGTTCCTCTTATTTAAAAAACTTTTATCTTCAGGACTTGACTCCGGTCCTCAAGAAGAATTCCTAAGCTTATTAGGTGGCGCAAGGACAAGTCCACCAGTTCATCAATTTTTGGTTAATTCCCTTGGTGAAGCGGTAGAAATTCAATCTTTTGAATTGTTCAACAGTGAATGAGATGATAATATAATTTACTGAGTCCTCTTGGTCCTTAGGGAATCAAACGGACAGCAAAGATTGTTTGTGGGGCAGGAAAAGAGCTTCAGACGATAGTGCTTAACAATTTACAGGTGAGTTAATGCTAATAACTGGCATATGATGAGAAGATAATGATTTTCTTTGTTTTACCAAACTTCTCTTGCTGCTTCATTGTAACTTAAATATATAGCCTTTAGTGCAATATTTGCTACTGTTTAAAATAAATGAATGCTCAAATACAGTAGATAATTTGTAGTCTCAGCATACAAGAGTCTCAAACTTTTTGGCCATTTGGTTATTTTGCATTGTAATTATTATTTAATTTTTTTATTTGTCATGATATTAACTTCTTTTTGGTTGTGGCTACTTTTTCGTGAACCTTAACTTGGAGTGTTAAATTTTGATTTGTGCTTGTGGTGCTTTTAGGTGAACTTTCTGTTGAATTTCTGAAACTCTGATTGTCAGCCTGCTGCAGAAATTATTGCATTCAGAATGGGAGAGTTAAGAGGGCTTTCAAAATGGCGTGCACGTTTTCGTGGAATTGGATTGGATGAGAACTTGATTGATCATGCAACAGAGAAATCTGGGATGTTGCTTGTTCAAATCGAAAGATTTATCAGGATTTTGTCCTCGGTGGTGCAGCAGGTATGTAAAATCCCTTGGTATTATAATGACAGTAAATTCCTGGTGCCCTTTTGTTACATACATAATTATTTGAATTGGGTTAAAAGCGCAGATCATTAAGAGTGTCACTTGAGATTTGCTGTTGTACATGCTATAAACAGAGGGCTTAAACTGTTATTTTCGATTGCTTGACTTGTATTATTGACCATGAGCAGTAATTCAACCAATTAAACTGGACTTTTTTACGCTGTTCGATATTTCAACCAACTAAAATGGAAACTAAATTATGCCTTGTGATAAAAGAGAAAAATATGCTTTACTTAGGATTATCCGTTTCTTTCTTGTGTGAAGAGAGACCGTTTTAGTAAAGGCTTTGATACCCTACTGTGTGTGTGTGTGTTTTTTCCCCTTTTTGCTTAAAAGAGTCTGTACATACAGAAACTTGAAGTGTTGCAACTTTGTGCTTGGCACATCACGTCATTACCATGTCTCACCGTGCTCTTCATCTTCTGTTTTCAGTTTTCGAATTTTTTCAATTGGCTACTAAAATGTGTGAAGGTCCTCATGTCCGAACCAAGCGATCAACTTCTTCCCTTCAGTAGGTTTGACATTATCTATTCTTCCCTGCCTTTGCAATTTTTTGTTGACTTTTTCTCCAGCTCAGCAGATTGTTTCCATATTTCCAGTGAACTCGTTATCATATTCTTGAAGTTTCTGTACGACCAAGATCCTATTGGTGCCTTGCTGCGAGATTCTGAATCCGATCAGAGCATTGGAGTTGACTTGTAAGTCTTGAGATTTGACCACTTACGATTGGCTGTTGGTCGCATTTTATAATTAGTTTATCATTAACATCTACAATTGCCAATCTTAACTTTTTGAGTACGATAAGTTTCCTAAATTTTTTTGGATGTTTGTCTGAAAGCCACTTGTGAGAATATCTTCTTATTTTGTATCACAAGGGAGACAGATCAGAGAATCAAGGAATTGACTCTTTTCGGAGGGTTTGCAGATTGCGAGTATTTGAAAAGGACATTAGCTGTGGAATTTCAACAACTGCAGTCTTGGTATGCATGTAAATTTACTAGTATTATTATTATTATTATTATTATTATTATTTAAGGGGTCTCGAAACTTTCTTGCACAAGTATAATATATTATATATATGAATTTAAAAAGTGGATGAAGTAGATACATTTTGTCAATGTGCTATGAAGTCGTGTACACTTATTCTTTCTAATTGTCGCCCGGTTCTCTCTGCTTATCCATTGTCGATTTCTGGATCTATGACTTGGAATTCTAGTTTCAAGGAGGCCTTGGAGATGCCACTCGCCACAGTTTCTAAAAAGATACTTTGTAAAGACATGTTGCCGCTTTTCCCTTCACCTTCACCAAATTTGAAGTCCTCTTATTTTCCTGTTTCAGTGTCATTCTATCAGGTATATGCCAACTCTCTCAATTAGAATTGCTTAAAACAGTGCTCCTAATATGCATGCATTTTCTTTTGGACAGAGACCTCATTTAATTTTAATTTGCACGGCTCACCGCATTTTTCAGGAAACTTCTCACTCGACTTTAAATCAAGAAATTCCCAATCAGGGACTCATTGACTATACTTGTTTTATGGTGCCTAACGAGACTTTCCCGAACATCTCAAATTGCATTGGCATTGCAAGGGGGCTCATTAGTAATTTGGATAACTTCAAAAGCGGCCACAGTTCTCTAGAGATTGCAGTATTACATGTTCCTGATGATTATAACTGCGTGGATCTTTCTCTGTATAAAGTACGAGAGCACTAGCCCTCTTCTTTTTTCCTTTTTTTTTTTATTTTACATATACTGAAGCTTTCATTTCATGTCTAAAACAGGAAGAACAGATTGTGTTGCTATTAAACCAAGAGACAATGGATTCTGAGAGCTCAGGAAATGCTTGTATGATGATTATACAAGTATCCAATCTCACATTTTGGGACTTATTGATATTATTCAAACACACATAAAGATGCATCTACAAATGTGTATGCATAGATCTTGAAATTTGCCTAGTGATTACGTACTGTTTTAGGATTCTGTTATGCACTTGCAAATGGAGAATGAAAAAGTTCGGGAAATTTCTCACTCGGTGGTTGCTCCATTGGCGGTTAGCGGTAAGTGTTTCACGATTGCTTTCCTTCCCCCAGTATCTCGAATTCTGTTCATAAATATATTAATATTTCGAGTTTTAGTTGAAGGACAATCAGTTGATATTTTAGATTCAATTCATAATTTCAGCATCCAGAGGCGTGGCTTGTATTTTTGCCGCAAAAAAGCGTGCCTTGGTGTATATCCTAGACGAAGATGAAGATGAAGGTACCGATTCAGAATAAATTATTTTTAATCCCTTCAACTCCAGCTAGTGTTTAGCTTGTATTGTTTGAGCTGCATTTTTTCTTTTTTTTTTTTTTAAAGGAAAAACCATATCCTTTGGTTTGAACTGCATTTTTTCCAGTTATAATGTGTGTGTGTGTCTGATCTCTTTGTATCATGTACTAGTTAGGAGTAACAAACTTAAAGTTTCTTGCTTACTAATCTTGTATACTTTATTTTATGTTATCCTCGTCTTTTCATTTTGATTAAAATGTGTGCCAAACTATCGAAATTGTGCTATAAAAAATAAAAAAAATGAACACTCTTGACAGTGTATTTGACATATTTTGCTTTTAAACTGTTTGGAAAAAATAAAATATATTCTGTCAATTTTGTAATATTGAATTAGGTTGAAATATGACTAAACATTTTACAAATGGAAGTAACAAAAACAACAGAAACTCTTAATTACCATGAATGCCGAACTTGGATTTTAAATTAAAAACCAAGGGACTGTTTGATTTCTACATGGACATTATACATCCAGGGCCTGCTTCGTTGTGAGGCGCCTAAGTACTAGAAAATTAGGAGGGCCATACTTAGTATTGTTTTGAAGTCATAAATTATACTGTGTAAAGTTTAAAAATATAAGTCATTTGTATTCTTTCACAATAATATTGGTTCATTCCAAAAGTATATTAAATATAGTATTGTTTTTTAATTCATCAGATATAGCCTTTTTCCTTTTTCTTTTTCTCAAGTTTTTGTACCTTTCCAAATGATTTTAACACATTTATTTTCCCATCGATTGATAACTACCTCTCTTTTTCTATTATCTCTATTATTTCACTGTAAACTTTCGAGTATTCATATTTATTTGTAAAATAAAACAATAGAGTACAAGTTTTTTCTTTTAATAATTTCCATCGTAATCAGTGTTATATTACATGTAAGAGACAAAACATAAAAAGAACACGTAAGTTTGAAATCCCGAGCGAGTCTTTAAACTAATGACCAGCTCCGAGCAAATAATACAAAACAAAATAAAATAATAATGGGAAATAAAATCTAAAAGATAACGTAAACTACTTGATAAGATTTAATTAACATTTCGTACGTGCTTTGGTAAGCTGCATCACTATTAATTGATCTTCTGCAAGTAAAAATATTTCAATGTCAATACAATTAATTTTAATTAGACTTTAATTTCATCAATTATCTAATGCAGTTACACTTCTATAAAACCACCCTTCTTTTTACATGCATACATATGTATCAATTTTATTTATTGTGAAAACTAACAAGTACACACCAAAATAAATAATAATAATAATAATAATAATAATAATAATAATAATAATAATAATAATAATAATAATAATGATAGTTGGAAAACAGCCGTCCTAATTTGCCAACAACTACATGTATGATGTCATATAAATATAATGCTACATAAAAATTGTAGCGTGCATAGGGTCAACGCCTTGTTGCTAATCCAAAGGGAATCTTAGTTACAACTAATTATTCAGTGAGATTCGCTGTCCGAACATAAAGATAAATGTTAATTTAAGACTCGCATTCTTGGATAGGCAAGTTTTGGTGCAATAAATATTGAGAAATTTATTTTAAGGAAAAAGATACTACAAAATAAGATAAAATAGAACCCATAACGATCAAGTATCAACGTTACGTATAGTATTCCGACCACATGACTCCTCTATTAATATCTATACTTATATTAAAGGGGTACTATTTACCAAATTAAGTAGCCAGAAAAGTCAACAGCATTTATTGCATTACTATTTCCGTATTATGCTATATAAAAAGATATTCTATTTACTACATTTATTATCCAGAAAAGTCAACTGCATTAAATGTCATTACTATTTTGATATTATAATATTTTATTTATTTATTTATTTGTTTTATTTTACAAAGTTAAGTATAATAAAAAGAATTTAACAATAAAAAAATCAAATACCAAATAAAAATGTACACTTTGACTTATTTGATTATATTTGGTATTTGATTATACCCAATATATTCCTATTTAGTATATACATTAAATACATACCAAAGTATTTATTTGTTTCATTTTCATCAAAGTTAAGTATAGATTTGTTTATTTTATCAAATCATAAAAAAATATTAAATCTATATTGTAAAAAAAAAAAAAATCATATAATTTTATAACAATTCTACTACACTATTTAACAATATTCCTTTTTTATTATATAATAAAATAATAATTAAATATTATATGGTGAACAACAATAAGTAAAACTGTTACTTTCTCTTATATCAAGGGATAAATTTATATGCTAAAATTAAATTTTTATTAGTATAAATGTTTTAGTGAGATAATATATTAATTATTTTACAAGCTAGCCCTAACATGCTCATATTTAATGTTTTAAAAGATGTAGAAAAAAACTTATAATAACTCTATTGTTTTTTAGACTTAAACGTTGATTAAAAGAGGTAAAAATTCCTAATTTTTTAGACTTAAACGTTGATTAGCACCATAGATTGAGAGTTTATATTTAGTAAAATTTCTAATTGTAATAAAAAAATTAATTTTTGCTATATTTTAGAATATCTTTAAATTCATTATAAAAAAAAAAAGAAAAAAAAACTACAATGAAAAAAGCAAGTCAGCTATATATCGATTTGTTGTACTCCTCAAATCACATTCACAATTTGGCTACAAGGAAAGCAAACTCATTGATTAAAATATTATTTTATCAGTAGTCTTAATGTACAAGAGACTTTAAGACTCCACTTGAATATTATAAAACTTTTGTTGAACATTGTACAATTTCTTGCGTATTATAAACTTTTATTGAATATTGCATCTTATAATATAATATTCTCCAAATAAATATATATCGTGCTTCGCACGTACTATATATATCCCGTACATTTTTCTTTATTCATGTATATAATTATAAGTCTGGATAAATAGCCTTAAAATTGTGCACCCCGTGCATCGCACGGGCTCTGTACTAGTTAGGGGAAAAAAGGAGTTGATTAATATGTGGCCAAGATTGCATGTGTGGGCAATTAATTAAGGGTCACTAGGAGATAGGGACATTGATTAGGAGACTAGTTAATATAATAAATCATTGACTAGTAGCAATTTGTTATTTAGGTGGCTATGGATTATTATTATTATTATTTTGGCACAAACAAAATTTATATATAAAGTTGTGATTAGATATATAATATATAAAAATTATTTCTTTTACCTCAACCCATGTGGTAGTCGCAGCAAACTGATGAACATAATGTATCGGGACTCGGTTTTGTGTAAAAACTCACACTAACGGCCTTGTTTCGAACAGGATAAAATGTATAAACCCGCACAGATGGCCTTGATTTACACATTATTAAGTGAAAAATCCACACTATCAGTCTAGATTTTTCACGAAGAAATGACTCTGAGACGAGCTTCTTTCTTAATTTTTCTTACTTTTAAACTTCCTTCCTTTGACAATCATGAGTACGTGCATTTTTATAGCCTAAATCTATACATTCAAATATTCAAATTGTAACTAACATATAACTAATCATTCAAACATTTAAATTATAAACTAACATACTAATCCTATCTAAATATTTAACATACATAACTAAAATTAACTACCCCCGTCATCATCCACGTGATCTGACACTCAAAAGTCCGGTTCGCATCACCCACGCTAAAAATTCATGTCTATTAGAACTTCAAAATAATAACACTTGGTAAATATAAATTATAAATATATTTGAAAAATTTAATAATTTTTTTATTTGTTATCATTTTTCATAAGATATGTCAAATTAATCCCTTTTTTCTCCATATTGATTATAGAAAAAATAATATAATACTCAAATAACATTTAAAATTCTAATATTGAAAATTACAATTTTCTATTTTTAATTTTAGAAACTCTATTCATATAAATTTATAAATTAACAACCGTCTGAGAGCATTTCCAATGCTTACATGTAGTTGTAGTAGATTACACTCTACATTGACAAATTTAGCAATTTATCCACTTTTAATCTTCCAATGCACAATGTTATTATAAATATAGTGGTGAGGTGGACATAGTTAGTGTCTATAATGTAGAAAAGAATGTGGTTCATCCATATTATTACTATTTTCAAAATATCTAATGATTTAATTTATTTTATTTATATTTATAAATTTTTTATTTTAGTCAAGTGGACAATATTGTGTTTGATTACATTGTGCATTGGATATAATTTTTTCAAATTAAAGTTGTGAACATAACAATTATTTTATATGGTTCACAATTCATCTAATTAATTGATATTTGTCAAAATTTATGTAATGACAATATTTATGCATTGGAGATGCTCTAATATAGTGATATTGTAATACTATTATTTTACATTATTTGATGATATATATTAATTTCGCAATCACAAAGAGTGGTGTCAACTCAGTCAAGTGCGAAACGGTTAGGAAGAGTAACGAAAGCGAAAATTCTCAAGGCGGACATATTTATGGGTTTATTGGAAAGGACTGACGTTTTACTGAAAATAAATAATCAATATTTATTGCAGTTATTATATGCATTCATATTGTCCATAGAAGAAGACCCACATAATAAATACATTTTTTTTGAAAAAATACAAAATACGTCCTTCATAGATTATATTGATGATGGGTGGAATTTAAGTTTTGCAACTACCTACTGTCATCGACATTTTCATCATTTTCTAAATTGTGGAAAAAAAATTACAAAAGAAAATATCACAAATTTTTATAAAGCTTGTAGAAATATTATAATTTTTCGTATAAGACTGACCTAACTAGTTAATTTTTTATGCATTGTTAATAAAAATGCATAATTATACTATGAAATATCACTTTTATTTATGTATTTTTTAAAGAAAAAATACCACATTTTTATTTGAAAGTATATATGTATATTTTTTCTTAAAAAAAGTGTATATCTAATCAACTCAAATAACAATAGCAAACTAGCTAATAAACATATTTTGGAACTCTTAACAAGTTTCACATGATACAGCAATACTAGTTACTTCACTAGTAAAATTTCATTTCAGTTTTTATAATTAATAGTTAAATAAATATAAATCTCAGG